GGCCCCGTCCTCAGGCCCCGGTCCGAGGGGGGCAGGCGCCCGACAGCCGCTAGCGCCGCTTCTTAGCGTCCTGTGTTCCTCTGATCACGATTGACCGCTGTTGTGTTCTGCTTGCTTTTTCTTAATTTGCTGTTTTTGTTATTTTCCTTTTTATATTTTATCCAGATCCCCCCACAACTATCCCTCCTCCCACAACAACCACCACCACTACCACCACCATCCCTACCACCATCACAGGTACGGTACCTTCATAACCATTGGAAATGTCCTGAATGTTGATTGTCTGTTATGTATGTAAGCAGAGCATGAAGCCTGGGGAAAAACAGACCGCTCAAATTACCTTTTTTTTCCCTTTTTTAATCAAACCCAGCCAGCGTAGCGTGCGAGGCCCGGGCGGACGAGCGGACAGGGCATTGCCGTGGCAGAGAAAGCTGTGAATTCGGTTACTGGTGGCTGATGTGGGCGCTTCCAGAGCGGCCTGGGGAGCTCCCTGAGCAGTTGTGCAGCCCCTGCCCCGCCAGCAGCCTTTGCTGGGCACTCTGCTCTGGGAAGCAGCACGTTTGGTCAGGTTCAGTTCCCCTCCGGTGACTCGAGAGCTTTTTCCCGTGCCTGGGTGTCTGGTGTGTCTGTGAGAACCCCTCTGCCTCCCGGAAAGGTGCGCTCCAGCAGTTCTTGTGCAGCGGCTCCAACCCCTCTGCAGGGCCCTTTTTGAGGAGCTGGCTATTGGGGTTTTTCCCCATCCCCATGAGAAGAGCTGACTAAACCCGGCCAGCCCATGGCGAGACGCCTCTGCTCCCCGCATCCCTCACGCTTCCTCGCTCGAGCCGGCGCTCCCCGGGAGCCTTTTGGGGTTCTTTGTCACCATCCGCATCGCCATTTCTCTGGTCTTTCCTGTTTCCACCGCTGCTTTTGCTTGCCCTTTGTGTTTGGTTTCGGTTTGTCGTTTTCGAGGTAGCGGTGACAGACGCAGGTGGGGATGGCCACTGAGTAGGTAATGCCCTGACGTTGCTGTGAACCTCCCCGTGCGATGCCTTCACGTTGTCTTTGCTTTCCGGCGCTGCTCGGCTGACTCTAACGGCCCCGCTCAGGGCTTTGCGGCTCTCTCTCCTCCCGAGGTTTTCGCCCCCCGCTGGCACGGACGCAGCTGAAGCCTTGCTGCCCCCGTGCCTTGACGCGCTGCCACCACCATCGTCCTGTGCAGACCTCGCCATTCTCTGTCCTCCTCTTTGCAGGTGGTTGTCGCTAGCAGCAGCTTGAGACGCAGCCGTCAACGCTTGCCCGTTTTGCAGCTTGTTCTCTTTGTTTCAGTCCTGTTTTTCATCTCCTGCCTTAACCAGTTTTCATTTCAGAATAGGTTTCGAGCGTTGTCGCACACGATCCTGCATGTCTCGGTGTAAATGGACACACGCAGAGTTTGCTTTGGGTTTACGGTGACGTGTTAATGCTTTCAGTGAGTTTTTGGTGGCCGAAGGGAAGTCTGACGCTTGGTCGGGCCCGTTGTGTCGGTGTGGGTGCTGAGGATGGGCGCTGCCCCTGGGGAGGCAGGGCTGTGCTGACAGACGATGGGGCGCGCTCAGAGCTGCGTGGAGCGGCCGCTCTTCATCTCCTCTACCAGCGGGACTGTGGGGTGCTGGTTCATCGGCCGCACAGAAGCACCTTGGGATCAGGAGCACGCTGCTCACCTGTGTTTTTCTCACACCTTTGCACTGATGGAGGATCCAAAACTGAAAGCTTGCTGCCATCCTGTTGGGTGATCTCCATTGCCTCCTTGATGCCCTTCGGTATCAGCTTTGAACTGCGAAGAGGCCAGAACTGTAATGGAAAAGCGCCGTTGTTTGCTGACTCCAGCAGGTACCGCTCAGGATGCGTGGGCGGAAGATGAGTTGGTGCTGATAAGAGACACGTTTGTATTCTCCTCCGACACCCACCGTCGTCTTGACGTGTGTCTGCCCGGGAGTTCAGCCTGGTTTTCTGCACAGAACAGCTCGGGCTCGGCCTCCCGCTGCTGCGGAGCCGCGCACGCCTCTGCTCTCCAGCCAGCGCCAGGCAGCGTCGGGCTGCAGGAACTTCTGCTCTTCTGCAGTTAAGAGACTTGGGAGCTGGGATAAAATGAGGTCAAATTAACATAATCTCTAGAATTACATGGCATAGCAGTGCTGAAACCCTGTTTAAAGCCTCGAGAGACAATCAGTACCTTAATTCCCATCGTCACCAAAGGCTGCAGTGCTCCTCCAGGGTGGCAGACGGGGCGGTTGGTGGCCAGGATCACAGCCAGGATGTGCAGGCGTGCGCTGGAGCATGGTCCCTGTCCCTCCCCAAAGCCCGTGCCAGAGCAAAAGGTCCTTTTGTCGGCCCCTCTTGCTTGAGGTGTCCTAATCCTGCATCTGCTGCTGGGGGCTTGGCCCCAAAGGCTCGCTGAGCCCATACCTCATGGTTTTGTGGCAGGGAGGTTTGGGGAAGATCTTCACAAAGCCAACCTGCTGCATTTCTCCAGGAGCAGGACAAGCTGAGCAGCGGAGAAGTTTCCCAGCCAACGCGACCTTTAAAGCTCTTCCTCCGTCACTGCTGCTTTGCAGGACAGAGCTGTCCTGCGTGACACTCTGATCTTTTCCCAGTATCCTCTGACAGCATTGATATTCCAACCAGCCCGTGGCGCTCCAGCCGTTATCGCCGGCGAGCCCTTTTTTATCAGCTCAAATTGTCCTTGTGGCTTTGTTCATTAAGATGTACAACGCGATACAGCGGAGCGCGCCGCGTCATTTGAATTACCCCTCGGGTTGTTCCTGGAGACGCTGCTTTGGGACGGCTGCTGTGCCCTGGGAGATGGAGGTGCTCTGTAACGCCCAGCCCTGGTCCTGGGGCTTCGCTGCCTTCTGGTCTTGCTTAGCACGTACACCTCCGCACGCCGGGACCCGCGGCAGCGTTTGTAGGTGCAGATCTGCGCTTGTCACGCTCGCCCTGCAGATGGAAGGCGCAGGTGTCTTGGCAACCGCTTCGGCAGAGATCTGCGGGTGCGACGCGCGCGCACGTTACCAGAATCCCAAGCCTTGCGTTGGATGCTGTGACTCTGCGAAGCCCCCGCTGTCCGTCTTGCTGCAGCGCTGTTTCACGTGCCCTTCATGCCAGTTTACACCGCTTTTTAAAACCCACGGATCCCTTTGAGTGAAAGGGATGAAAAATACCCATTTCTGTGTCAGCCCAGCTAGCGAGGAAATTGGAGTGCACGGAAAGCTGAAGTCCTTGGGAGGAAGCAGCACAGCAGGTTTGCAGAGCATGAGTTCACGTGCCAGAAAACGTCCTTCAGACGAGGAAAGCGGTGGCTTTGCCCTCGGCAGAAGTTTAGGGGGGTTATTCCAGCAGCCGCCCCAAAGGCGGTGGGCGGGAGGAGCGAGCAGCGAGACGGGAGCCAGAGCTTGTGCCGTGTCCAGGTCCTCGCTGTCACCGTGCAGGGACTCGGCCGGCGATTTGTTCCCCCAAATTATTTATTATTTAACTTTTGCTTTCCGTCAAAGCTGCTGCGCATCCCTGATAAAATGTCAAGTTAATTTAAAGGTGATACCGCGCTCTTGTGACATTTTCATCCAGGATGTGACCGCATTAAAGGGAATAAAGGAAGAGACAGAGTAGCTGACAGGTCTGGCACGGAAAACACGGTAAAATCAAAGTCAGTCTCTTAGCACCACGTCCCCTTGGCAGGGACGGTGCTGTCACAGCCGCTACCGATGCAGGAACCATCACTGCGGGGCAGGAAAGGCGCACGTTGAGGTCCGGGATTACGAGGCTGGGAGTTGAATACAACCCTGGGATTTGAATACAACCAAAATCCTCGCAGATCTGCATGGGAAAGCGTGAAAAGACGTAGCCGCAGCCACAGCACTAGTTTCAGAATATTCTTGTTCTGGTCGCACACAACTGCCGTGCAGATTGTGATGATATTTGTGAAACATCTGGTCCGCAAATCAAACCGTCTCTGGGGCGCGCTGCAACGCGCCCGTGCGCGGAGGCTTTGGGTGGACCTGGAGCTGTTTTTCGGGGATCAGCTCTCTGTTGAATGGATATCTGTACTCACCAGCACCGCTTTGATTTCCGTGTTTTCTAAAGTGTATTCTGCCTGTTTTTGACAGCGAGCTGTTGTAATTCTCTTTACAATAGCTGTGTTGTTAAGCCCCGGTGCATTATGTGTCTCGATAGGGCTGCAGCTCCACAGCCCGACCATTCAAGCCGGTGGATTTAATTCTGCTGCCGGGGTTTTAATATTCCTCCGGTGCGCTCGTTCTGTTGGAGGCTGCGGGCGAGTGGGCGAGTTTGCAGGGCCCAGGCTGTCGCACTCGGCACGCAGCTCGAGGCTGGCGAGAATCCATCTGAGAAGACGAGGAGGCGTAGCGACAGGGCGCGTACCTCGGCTGCGCGCTGCGCAGATACCTCCCTGCAGGGGTTTAGTAAACACGCGCGTGTCTGTGTGTGCACCCGCCAGTGAGGTGGGGAGCGCCCAGAACGCGGGTGTTGTCAGAGCTGGCAGCGCACCGCCGGTACCGCGGGGCGGCTGTCGCTGCCCGCGCTGAGCCCCGAGCTCACAACCAGCGCGAAAGGAGACCACCGTGCAGTGAAACGTGCGGCTTTGCAGAGGCCAGCGGCCCCTTTCTTGGACACCCTTTGCAAGTTACCAGTTACCTCCGCTGAATTTACGCAGTCTGAGAGACCACGGCCCCGGGGTTTTTTGAGCACGTTTTGTCACTTAAATCAGGAAGGGAAGCCTCTATCTTGGCCTCACGATGAAAGCTCTACGCTGAGCCTCTTGGTGTGCTCTCTGCCGTGCCACATCTTCTGAACACCCCTTTTTTCAGCCCCTGTGGATCATTTTAGACCATCAGCGTTGTGCCGGTGCGTGACTGCTGCTTGAGGCCAGCGCGGTGCTTTTTGGGGCTGGCAGAGCCTTTCTTTGACTTCACTCACCCTTAGGTAGGGCAGGAACACTCCGAGGCCTCTGCTCAGCCCCTGTTTGAGGAGAAGGTGTTGGTTTTCTGCCAGGAGCTGGGGCAGAAGCCTCATCTCTGGGCTGCAGCAGAAATCAGTGGCGCTCAGGAAAGGACACTCAGGGTTAGGTAATCTGGAAATCGGGGGTGGTGCCAGCAGCTGCAGGGCTGGGCCGGGCCGTGCTGCGGGCGCAGGCGCGCTGGGCTCGCTGCGGTTTGCCCTGTGCTCATTGACCCTACACCAAGGCAGCAGTGACGGGTTTCTCTCCTTTGCCACACACCACGGTGGGGTGCGCCCATGGCGGGGGCGTCCTCGGCTTCGCGTTAACGTGAGGTTGTTCCTCTCGGGAGCACCGCGCGCTCTCCTCCTTCCCAAAGACGACGGAGCGGAACGGACTGCCAAAAAGTCACGCTAAAACCGTAACCGGTCTGTGTCTCCTACTGCAACCATCCAACCCATTTGCTAATCATAACTTTGTCATTCCAGCCGCAGCAACATCTTGTGTGACTTGGATATTTGTTGGCACTTACAACCGCTTGAGAACTTTATTTTCCGTAACCTGTCGGTCTCTGTCCCCAGCCGGGGAAGCGAGATGCACTGTCCAGTTCGCACTGTTTCTTGACTAATATCTCTTGCAGCACCTCAGCGCAAGTTTGCTTTCGGCCGATTCTCTATGTAGCGTAAAAGCTGACGTAACTTTTTTTGTTTCAGGAAGACAGTAAATTGAGGCTATTGGTAGGTGCCGAGATGCTATCTCAGGAATCAATGCTCAGTTTGACCGCCCTCTCTAAACAGCAGCTTTCCCCCCTTCACCGCCATTCCCCCTCACCCTTTGCTTGGTTCAAACGAGGCATCGTTTGGGGGTTGCTGCCCAAAAACAGGAGGCTGCTCTGCCCTGCTCTGCTCTGGGAGGCTCCCTCCCGGCAGGAGAGCGGGCGCCGGCGCCTGGGGGTGCGTGCGGCCGCACTGCCCGGACGGGCGCCCCGCGTTGGCAACGACGGCTCCCTGATCCGTTACGCAGATCTGGGTGCAGTGCGTTAAATTGCGCAGGGTTTCTTTGTTTCGCTTTCATGATTAAAGCATGTAGACCTTGTATCTGTAAGTACTGTGTATTCCTTGTATGACCTTGTCTTCACCGGTGCTGCAGGACCTGGGACCCGGGCTGTCCTCAGCTTCACTGCCGAGGCTCCCGCTCGCCCTGACCGCACAGGACTGCCCGTCCCTGGGTGGCTCCATCCCGAAACGCCCCGGGGAGCTGTCTGTCGGTGCTGCAAAACCCCAGCCCGGGGCTGCTTTGCAGGAGTACGCGGCAGAGCGCTTCTCTGCGCTTACTCGCACGGTTTTACTCATTTCAACATTGCCTGCATCCAACCGCCCTGTGCCGAGCCCGGCTTGGCTGTCGGCTCCGGAGGGATGTGCCCAGTCCCAGCCGTGGTGGGAGGACCCAGCCCAGCAAAGCAAGATATGGAGGCTCAGATGAACAGTAAATGGGTTTCCATAACTCAACAAGTGGGTAATGTGGATAAATACGATTTAGACCTGTTGGTTAAGAGGAAACAGCATGGGATGCTGTCAGAAAAAGCCTTCAGATTTGGGTCAGGCTTTGAAATTGGCCGTTGTAAAGTGCTGTGGAGATGAAGCATCTCTGCGTTGGTGAGACAGCAACCCCCTAGGCATTGCCAGGGGCATTTAGAACGTGTGAGTGGAGTCAGCTTCAGGACCTAAAACACTCCAGTGTCTTTTAATTACCAATAGCTGTTAACCAGCTGTGAGAGAGGGACCCTTTGCCCACTGCAGAGCAGTGTTTTCACACCAAAAAGACCCTGCAT